CGATGGACAGAGAATGGAAGTAGTGAACTTCCTCCCATATTTGGGCATACCGGGGGGTGTAACACACACTCACACTCTCTCTCTCTCTCTCTCTCTCTCTCTCTCTCTCTCTCTCTCTCTCTATCTATCTATCTATCTATATATATATATATATAATTTTTTAAAAAATGGTCGTGAGCCACCTAGAGTAGCGCCATGGCGAGATGGGTGGCAAATAAATTTCATCATCATCACCATCATCACTATTGTCCATCCTGCGATGATATCTGTAACACCATCAAACATCCAGATCTATAGAGTTCCCCGTACTCACCCTTTTGGCAGATTCCTATTGCTCCGTAGCTCCTCCTGTCACCAACGCCCACATTTAGCAGGCTAAAGGGGCTGTCCGGATGTTCTAGAGAATGGATACATTCTTCCTTCCCAAGTCTGTACTCACTCCATGAATATTCAGTTCCCACAATCTCTTTCCAAGAGACACCTCCCAAGGCGTCCCCATCCAGGGTGAGCCCACCAGCAGCTGCTGTCTTAGCAATGATGAGAGCATAATTCTCAAAGCTCACCTGGGTCTCAAAAGAGTAGGATGTGCAGTAGCTGAGAACATCAGGGATGGTCAGAAAGAAGGGGAGAAATGTGTGACCTGAATGGGTACCGCCAGGGCAGAAAAAGAAGACCTGGATGCCAACGTTGGCTGTGATGTGGATGGGGCTCGATTGTGTGACTTTCAGCTGAAGCAGCTGTCCAGGCTCGAGGTCATAACTTTTATGGGTGCTACCAGAGACAGAGGTGACTGTGGTCATTTGGGAGGTGGTTACATACACAATATTGTATTGACTTTGGAAGGAAAGAGGAAGGATAAAGAAGGAACGGCCCCAGCTTTCCACCGGTAGCAACTGCTCTACCACATGGCTACATTCGGTGTTCATTTGGGCACAGCTGTGCCCACTCAACACTGCTACCGGGTGTGTTGCTCTGACAAGTGTGCCAGAGAGATCGTGGTGGCTCTGAAGCTGGATGGCTTCGTAGGGTCGAAGGGTAAGGTGCAGCTTGCTGCCTGCAGGATAAATGCGGCTTTGGAATCTCACCGATCCCTTGAGGTGGATCTCTACGCCAGTGCTCTTATGCCATGCAATGACAGAGAACTCTTTGTACGTTTCGGAGAGGTCTCCCAAAGGTGTGAGAACATAATACGCCATTCCTAGACTCTGGATAGGATAGACAACTGTGGTGTCAAATGAAGTTCTCTTTGAGCTCAAGGCCACCACAGAGATATTTTGACTGGCCAGCACCAAGACGGTGTGGCAGGATTTTATGGTACCAACCATCTTGACAAAAGAAGGGATCTTCACTATCACCGTGTGTCCTGGGGAAAGAGAGAACTTTTTCTGGAAGGTGGATTTATAGACCAAGACATTGACTGTAGTGAGGGGGACGTCGCCCGAGATGATAAGCTGCAATTCAGTCCCTGGATAGTTTGACTGGTAATTTTGCATGAAACTAGTGATGAACTCCTGGCCGATAGGTGCTACAGCATGGAGACCTACAAGGAAGAGGAAATACAAGAAAAATGAGAGCCAGGAAGGAAAACAGTGCAGCACATGTGAAGGTTTGCATAACCTGAAATGTCCTTTCATTGAATGGGCTCATACAACATACTTAACTGTATCAGGTGAAAATCTAGTTCCTCCTTTTATACAAGAGCTAAGTTTGCTTAACGTTAACCATTGTTGCTTCAGGGAGGAGCAGACTTTGTGAACCCATCCCATTTAGTTTGTTGATGGTTCAAGGTATCATGCAAACCTCCAACATGAGTTAATTCAGTAATCCGGTTGAGTTTAGTCTCTGAATGCAGATTTTACAAAATCCTAGAGAATGACAAAATGGCCTAGCATAGAGGTGTCCAATTTTGGCAACTTTAAGACTTGTGGACTTCAACTCCCAGAATTGCCCAACTAGCATGTGGGCTTCAACTCCCAGAATTCCCCAACTAGCATTTGGGCTTCAACTCCCAGAATNGGAGATTTCTTCCAACAACCAGTTCTCTGAACTGCTTAGAAAGTTACCAACTGGTTCTCCCGAATAGGTGCGAACTGGCTGAATCCCACCACTGGATAGTGCCCAATCTTACTTACTCCAGACTATGTGGATCCTCCAAGTGTAAATGGTCATTCCCACAACTTGGCAGACAGATGCATAAGCAGCGATGATGTAGCCCAGTGCAGATGTTTGGCTGTTGGATGTGCAGTAGTCAGACACACACTCGAGGAAAAACACCTCTGGGTTGATTTTCCTGTGGCATTCCCTAAACGGGCCATTCTTGTCCACCAGGATTCCACATTCGGTGCCAATGCTTCGTTGCTTCTGGGCCATGTTCTGCAAGTTCGGACATACTTTTGGGTTGACTTCTCCACAGCCAGGGAACTCGGCCACCTTCCAGAGTTGCCCAAAAGCTGCCAGTTTGGTGACTTGCCCACCACTAATCAATGCCATGTCGTCTTGTTTATCTCCATTGAAGTTGCCACAGAGCCCGCTCAAGGCACCTTGGTAAGTGGTTGGCACAGTGACCGTCAGATGACTCTGCCAGTTGAAAGTGACCACAAGGCCAAAATCTGTTTGGATCACAGTGTCCCAACCCTTTTGGTAGACGATAATTTGATCTGGGCCCATCTTGTAAGGCAGGTTGGTGAGCTGGCCATTGACCTGGAAGCATAGGAGAAGCAACAATGAAGAACCACCTGGCAGAAATTTGGCTCTAAGTCAATCACTTCTGTTGAAATAGATAAAGTGTTTTTTTTCTGTCAGGTACTTAGAAAATAAGTGCCTAATTTTGTTTTATCTTTAAATGAAACCCTTCCTTTTTAAAAAATTTGAGTAGTCTATGTATGTACTTATAGGGACATGGTGGCTCAGTGACTAAAGTCAACAGTTTGGTGGTTCGAATCCCTAGCACTGTATAACGGAGTGAGCTCCTGTTACTTGTCCCAGTTTCTGCCAACCTAGCAGTTTGAAAGCACATAAAAATGCAAGTAGAAAAATAGGGACCACCTTTGGTGGGATGGTAACAGCGTTCCGTGCCCCTTCGGAATTTAGTCATGCCAGCCANAACACAGAAGGCCTTACAGTATGATCTGGACACTTGCATGTCCAATGAAGAGGAAGAAATGTCGTTCTTACCCGCACAAATCCATGTTCCTTCCTGGCTACTGCTATGATGTATCCATAGACCTGGACTGTCACCAATCCAACGTAGGACACACGTTTCATGCCCCGATTCTCATTTTTGATGGTGATATGGAAGGCTGGGAGAGTTGTGTCTGGTCCGCAGGTCTTGGCAATGGTGTATGTGCAGGTGCCCATGAAGTCATATTTCCGCCTGTCAAATGTCCAGTAATGGGGGTCGCCCCGAGCCAAGCAAATGGCAGAAGTTTGAGGCACACACACCTTCTGGCCATTTTGCATTTTGTAAGTCTCCTTCTTCCGGCACTGTATGGGAGTACTCATGGGAACAGGCTGAGCTTCTGGGTAACAAAAGGCAGCATGTTACTTAATGGCATAGATCCAGGCTACCTGATGAACTGCATTGGCCTGCTAAGTCTATCCCATCCTACTCGGGACCAGAGGTGGTATTCAGCAGGTTCTGACCAGTTCTGGGGAACCAGTAGCGGACGTTTTGAGTCGTTCGAAGAACCAGTAAATATCATCTCTGGCTGGCCCCGCCCCCATCTATTCTCTGCCTCCCGAGTCCCAGCTGATCAGGAGGGAATGTAGATTTCACAGTGTCTTTCCCCTGCCACATCTACCAAGCCACGCCTATAGAATGGGTAGTAACATTTTTTGAATTTGGGATGGCAGAAAGGGTCTAGTGTGGATCCTGTTGGTCAAAGAAGTCCAATTGTTGGGACCCAGAAGAGCCTTCTCTACTGCAGCACCCGCCCTCTGGAACACCATGCCCTCCAGGATAAGATTCACCCCAACCTCTTGCCATCCCATCAGAGCTAAAGACTGAGCTCTACAGGTTGGCCAGGGAATCCAATAGAGGAGATCAAGTCCAAAGGTGGTTCCTAGATTGATAGCAGATACCACCTGCCCCCTCCTTTCTCTGCTTCCCACTCGTCCATCCTTATTTTTTACTAATCCTATTGATTTTTTGTGTTATTTTTCTTTGTTTTTTTCCCCCCTTGGTCACTTTATTGTTCTACTAGCTGATAACCCAGAGTTGCACGGGTATTTATTTATCCTACTCTATCCATTTGTCCTCAAAAATAATCCCACACCAAACGTAATTTCTAGTGTTTTCCCCCTTAGCAGATGGAGCCCCCTTGTGGTGTACTGTAAAGCTGTTATCATGGCAACTCCACTGCACTGTTCAGTAGAAGCAATTTTACGGCAGTACGGTAGGATCCATTTTAAGGCACAACAGGCTGTATTTTAACAGAACACACACCCTGAGGGGTGTTAGGAGTGTCCTCCCACAGTATTTTTCTGCAGAGAGTAAGTAATCCGTGTACCAAGTTTGGTTGAAATTGCTCCAGGTGTTCCAGACTTATGCTGGAACACACAGACACACACACAGACACACACACACACACAGACAGACACACACACACACAGAAACACACACACACACAGACACACATACAAACACATAGCCATTATATATATATATATATATATATATATATATATATA